CTTTGTATTTTTCAAAAAAGAGAAACTTTTCCATACTTTACATCTGGTACAAACAGAAAACTCCCCAACTTTTGAAACAAGTAATTTGACAAGTTCATATTTTTCAAAGAAGCTCCTAGCTCCTCCCACAATCCCTTTACCTCAATGAGGCTTAAAAAGAAAAAAAGAAAAATCACAGCCTGGTGGTATTTCTTCCAAACACCCCACTGTAGCTCCTGGAATTCTGGACCATGAGTTCAGGGTAGCCACAATGGGTTTAGAAGATTTTAACTCTCACTCAGACTGAAAGATTAAAAAGACCTCGCCCAAATTCAGGGGAAATGAAGGTGCGTGGGCTCATTTTGCAGCAGCAGTTTTCAGCCCCTGCAGCCTCTCTAGAAGGTTCTCCACGAGTAAGGATGCCACGTGGGTACCCGCCGAGTGGGCGGGGAGTCGCCCTGCACTTTCGCCCACCTCTCCGTGTGTTTTCACAGGGAGTTCTAAATCTATTTGTTGTGCACGCTTTAAAATTCGTGGGTTAGTGCTCCCCGGCATCCCGGGGAGCCCCTGCGTGTCAGAATCGTATTAACCAACTCAGCGGATGTTTCGATGGTATATGGGGTGGGACAAGGAGGAATCGGTCACGCGAGAATAAAATAATCCGTATGTGAAAGTAAATGCATAACTCGGTCCCCTTGGGGCAGAAAAACCCAAGTAGGTCTCCCCAAATGGGAGAGACACTGGGGAGCCCTGCGGCGGGCGTCACTCAGGGTCGGATCTCAGGGGCCGAGGAACTGGACCGCAAATCAGAAAAATCATCTTTTTCCGGAGCAAAGGATGGATCTCGATTTCAAAGTTTAAAAATAAATTAGAACTTAAAAATTAATTTAAAAAACATTTTTAAGTCTTTGGGGGTGGAAGATGGCCGGGAGGGGGGAGCAGGGAACCGAGCTTTGGGACCGGGGCGCAACGCTGACCTAGGTCGTGCACAGGACCCTGGGACCCACGACCTGTCCCTGCCAGGCGGCCACCAGGGCCCGGCCGCGGCACCCCCTCCCCCGCCGCTTCCTCTCGCTCTCCCACCCCTTCCCCCACGTGTGGGTGACGTCAAAATTCCGCGAAAAAGCCGCGTGGTGGCTCCCCCAGCGGAGGCGCGACTCCGCCGCCCTGTGGTCTCCCACCCCCGGGACCCGCCAGGACCCCCCCGCTCCGCAAGGTCTTTTTCCTCCAGGGTCCCGACGCTGCCATCCGGACGCCCCGCGCCCCAGATCTTCTTGGCAAATTCACTTTTAGAAAGCAAATGTGTTTCCAGGGCTATTTTCAGCCATGTGAGGCGTGTCCTGACGCTGAATCAGACAGGAAGAGGGGGGAGTTTGGGTCTTTAAAAAAAAATTTTTTTTTCCAAGGGAGGGGTGCTAGGTGGGTGAGCAGACGGCCGGCCCTGGCTGCTGAACCCACCTCCAGCCACAGGGACCCGGCTGTGGTCCACGCTGAGACCCAGCCGAGAGTCGCTCCTGTGCAAAGGCCAGGCGACGGTGTAGTCTAGGTCCTCTGCGCCCTGATGCTGCGATGGCACAGGATGTCGGGAGGGTCCTGCGGGCGCTGTCGCACGTGGAGCCGCTTGTCCCCCGCATGGGGAGCCTCCAGTCCCGCGCCTTCGCACCCTCTTTCTCCCTCCTCTTCTTTCTCACGCTTTTTAGTTGTTTTTTTTTTTTTTCTTCACATCTTCCCAGACACTCCCCTGCGCTTTTTCTCACTCAGCCACCTACTTCAAGCAATTGCCAAGTCTTGGGGTTTGAGTGCCTGACCATCCACTTATCCATGGAGAAACACAAACACAGATCTACTTTTGGCGGAAGCCAGAGAGAAGGAGATGGCCCCTATCCTTTGGGCCTAAGCGCCCCGGGCTCAGGGCAACAGGATTCGAACTCGCGGCTGCCCAGGTGGAGGCCAACTGTCATCCGCCAGGTGATCTTGTAATAATGTGTGCCTAGGTGGCAGGTTCCTGCAGAAATGTGTCTATAAACACCCAACAGCCAGCTGCACCCTACACCTTCAGGGTTTTGTACACTTTCCAACCGAAACTGCTAAACCCAAGGAGGGGGGAGGGGGGCAGCTGGCCCTGGAGGGAATAAAGTCCGTTAAAACTTGGGTTCGGCTCAAGTTTATCACCGGCTGTACAAAGGACAGGATCATTGCCCCTTGAGGGGTAAAAAGGGACTTAAGAAGAACCCACAATCTTATTGTCCCCCCTCCCCAACTGGCCAGCGCGCAAACTTGGGCCTTTTCTGCACATTCAAGTCCACATTCATAGGAAACAAACATGTGTTGTGCCTTTTCCCGCGTGCTAGCAGGAGTGCCCTTTAAACTAGAAATGAAGCTTTTAAACACGTGGTCCGAGTGGCGACAGCAAGGGAGAACGCGACTTCCAGTCCCAACCTCCGGGAGACGCGGTGCCACCCTCCTCACCCTCTCACGCCCCACCCCACGTGCTGGGGCCGGATTCGACGCCAGATTCAAGTTCAGCCACAGTTGGTCCTAGGAAGGGGAGGTGAAAGCAGGCACTGAAGGAGAGAGCCTGCCACGCGGGAAGAGTGTTAATTGCCTAGTTTCCATGAACGGGGAGGACCGCGGAGAGGCCGCAACATCCACTGGAGACCCTCCCCTCCCCTCCTCCGCAGCCCTCCCCTCCGCCCCCCACCTCTCCCACCCTCAGCTTCTCCTCCCGCTGGAATTTGTCTGCAAAGCCAAGGGTGGGGGAGGGAAGGGTCGAGTGGCCCTATCCTTGCTTGGAGACGGGAGGACTCGCCACCCAGACTTTGTCACTCCGGGTGGCCGAGCCTCGCCGATGACCTCGACCGACCTCTTCCCCATCGCCCCCTCCCCCCACCCCAGCTCGGGATGCTGTCCCCCCTCGGGAGATGGGGAGGACACCCTGAGCAGTGAGCCATCAAGTGACGTGGGCAAACTGACATCCCTCCGTGGTCCTCGCCTGTCGGGGTAGATGAATACTTTAAGCACACCTCTGCCCCCCACCCTCCCCCTTTGCTCCAGGGATACCCCTCAGCCGCTGTCTCGGATCCGCTCCGAGGTGGCCCAGGGGAAGTTGGGAGTTTCCTTTATGAGGTCTTTAAAACCTAAGTGCGTGTATCTGTCCCGAGTGACCCGAAGCTCAGCTTGACTAAAATCAATAAGTGATGGGTCATGCATCTCGCCTAGTGCCATCCTCGGCGCCGGACTGTTTCCTATAGAGATTGCAGCTTCGGTTTTTCTTTTTCCCTTTTTTTTTCTTCCCAAAAGCTAATGGCTTCTACAGCAATTAGACATTTTCCTCGCCCGCCCCTTCCCTCCCCTTTCTTTTACATGTAGTAGATTGGATACTAATTCCCACTGCCATTGATAAAGACTCGAGGCCCCTCCGCGGCCCTCGCCGGCCCGGGTCTCCGCTCTCCCTCCGCTCTCCCCAGGCTTCCTTTTGATCTAGCGGGGAACGAGTCCCACTGA